CTCCCCCAGCGCCCTGTCCCCTCCTGTCCCACATCCTCCTTTTCACCTTTTCCGTCTGCCTGTTCTACCCCTCCCGGCTCCGGCCTCCTCTTTCCCTCTTGTCTTATCCTTTTCTTGCTTAACTCTTCACTCTCCCACTTTCTCTTCTTTTTTCCTCCCGCTCCATCTGCCACTTCTGCTTGTAGACCCCCTTGCCTACTACCATCCCTCCATCTTAAACTTGGGGTTTTAGGCTCCTCCTCGGACGGAGCTGTGTGTTTTGTCCTTCATTCCCTGTCCTGCTGTGACTCCTCTTTGCTCACTTACTCCTCTGGGCCTATCTGCTTTCATTGCCCTCTTTTAGGTTTGAGTGGGTGGGGCCTGGAGTCTGCTTTGCATAAATTCTGTAGTAGTGGGGAAGGTGGAAGAGATTGTGAAGAGATTTATGCAAGACTGAGTAAGGATGAATGGCTCCACCGGCACTTACTGTCTCCTCCTGGCACAAGATGTCGTGCCCTCAGGGGCCTAGCATGCTGTCAGGTAATTTTTAAGACTTGGGAGTATGTTTGTGTATTGTAACCTGTGGAGAGCTCAGTGTGATAGGTCCTGGCTGGAGAGCAAGTTTTGACCTCGATGTTGGGAGGGGGAGTTGTGGGGGTTAATAATGTGTGTCTCATCCAAGTAGAATACAGCCTTTGACCCTCCATGGGACTTTTGTTCCTTGTCTCATCCTTAGCATTAGAAATGTTTTGAAGTAAGGAGAGCTTGTTCTCCAGCTGGTTTTGTTTGTGTCAGAAATTGCTCTATTAAATTGTAACTTTTGAGCTTGGTGGTGGTGATGCTGTCTTTAATCCCAGTGTGTATTCCAGTAATCTGAAAATATTTTTACTCTTAAAATAAACCTGATGTAAACCGGATGTGGTTGGTGTTACACAGCTTTAGTCCCAATATGGGAGGCAGAGGCAGGAAGATAACAGAGTTCCAGGTCAGCCTGGTCTACAGAGTGAGTTCCAGGACAGCCAGGGCTATACAGAGAAACTTTGTCTCAAAAAACAAATAATACTTTTGTAACTTCTGTCAAAACCTCTTCACTACTCAGACTTTGTTCACTGTACTTGCGTTTCTGTCTTAGGTATTGGAAGAAGGAATGGAATTGGAAGGAAGAAGATTCATTCCAGAGACAAAATAGGTTCCATTTCCTATTGTAGCTGTTTCTTCTGGGAATATAAATTCTCTGCTTTCAGTGAGTATTTATTACCTTGTGCATACTTGAAGTGGGATTTTTATTGCATTTTTTTGGTTTTGACTTGTGTCTGGCTTTAAGGTGGGTAAGTGTACCTCATTCGTATTTATCTGAGATTCCGTGGGGTGGTCCTAATGTTGTTGAAGTTTTTATACCTTTTAAAATTACAGTTAGTGTGTATGTGCATGTGTTTGGATATCACCACCACGCATGTGCTGAGCTCAGAAGACAGCTTGAGGGAGTCAGTTCTCTCTATCGTGTGGGTTCTGGGTAGAGATGGAACTCAGTTCTTCAGGTTTGGTGGCAAGTGCCTTTACCTCCTGAGCCATCTTGCTGGCCCTATACTTCTTTTGTGTGTGTTTGTTTTACTTACTATTTTTTTTCAAGAAGGGGTTTCTCTGTGTAGCTCTGGCTGTCCTGGAACTCATTCTGTAGATCAGGCTGGCCTGGACCTCAGAGATTCACCTGCTTCTGCCTCTCAAGTGCTAAGATTAAAGGCGTGAACCACCACCCCCGGGTGATTGTGTGTGTGTGTATGTGTGTGTGTCTTAATTGACTCATGGAGTTGGGGTAGTTCAGTTGGTAAAGTGCTCATCTAGTATGTATGAGACCTGGGTTCCATCCCCAGCTCCACCTAAAACCTGTGGTGGTACACACAAGTGTAACCTCATCACTTGGGAAATGAATCTAGAAGATGGGAAATTTAAGGTCATCTTGGGCTACATAATGAGCTGGGCAGAAAAATTAACTAATTCAGGAGTTAATGAGTTCCTCAACAATTCTGATTCATGTGGTTTGGTCTTCAGCTACTTTGGGATCATTTTAACCTAAATCTGCTTTGGTGATATTTTGTTAAAGGCCATCACAGATTTGAAAATAACTATAATTCTGTATGTAAACCTTGAACATAGTTCTTTGGTAAAAGTTGAGTTCATTAAGGATAGCGTGCTTCGGTTAAGGACATAGCCCAGTGTGGAGCACTTGCCTAGCATGCTGAGGGACCTATGCTGTATTTGCAGTACACAACCACAAACCATTCTACTCTACTGTGAGTTTGTCAGAGTCTCCTAATCCCTTTGTGAGGGAGACAGGAGAGGAAATGTCTTAATTTCATAAATGTAAAACTAGCTGGGAGGTGGTGGCCCAGGCTTTTTAAATCCCAGCACTGAGGAGGCAGAGGTAGGTGGATCTCTGAGTTTGAGGTCAGCTTGGTCTACAGAGAGTTCTAAGACAGCCAGGGCTATACAGAAAAACTCTGTTCAAAAAAAAAAGAAAGAAAGAAAAAGAAATAAAGAGAAAAGGAAAACAAAACAAAACTGAGGCCCAGAAAGATGTAACCTCATGCTGAAAGTCACATAGAAAGGGAAGGTGTGGTTTGGGTGGTGTGGTCAGGAGCAAACAACAAAAATATTGTCTTCCAGTGGTGACACACATCTTTAACCCCAGCACTCAGGAGACTGAGACAAATCCAACTGCTGTTTCCCTGAGAAATCTGGTCTCAGGAAAACAAAAAATATTTACTCCTGTAACTCATTGTTTTCTTTAAACTGAGATAAATACGTATATGAATGTGGACTTTTTTGTTTGTTTGGTTGGTTGTTTTGTTTTTTCTGTTGCTGTTTTGTTTTTATTGTTTCAGGGTTTCATTATGTAGCCTTGGCTGCCCTAGAACTTGTTATGTAGACCAGGCTGGCCTCCAATTCAGAAATCACCTGCCTCTTCCAGGAGAGTGCTGAGGATCAGGGTGTGTGCCACCAAGTCCAGAGGGGTTTTGTTTACTTGCTTTTGAGACAAGGTCTCTCTGTACAGTGCAGCCCAGGCTGGCTTGCTCATGGCAATCCTGCTTTTACACATCGCCATCCCCTCTCCAGTGCTGTGATTACAGTGAGTCACATGCCTACCTCAAACTCTGAGCATTTTGTTACTTATTTGTTGTTTTGTCTTAAGCATTTTTAAATAGATTGTAAAAGTAATTACATCGGTTTGTATTTTGTGAGGAAATTGTTCATGTACCAAGTGCTCTGTATTTATATGGCAGTTGCATTCTTTGGTGGGAGAGTTGAGACAGTTTCAGGGAACCTATACTGGCCTCAGACACTCTGTGTGGTTGAGAGTGTCCATGAGCTCCTAATCATGTCTCCTGAGTTTTGGTATTATAGGCATGTACCTCTACTTTCAAGCTTGACCATTTTAAAAAGAGAAATAATTGAAATGGTTACCATAATATAGCATCTCTCATCTGACTCTTTCCTAGAACAATCCCATAAATAGGCCATAGTTACAGCTCAGACATCACACCCAATACTCATGAAATAATTATTACATTGAATTTCACTTCACCTCTTCAGTGTCACAAGAGAAACCCCAGCCTGTTCACATCTGAGGAAGGCTTCATTTGAGAACACATCTGGATGCTAAATAGAAACAGCTTTTCCCCAACTCCAAATCTTTAAAATGTCATATCCTCCAAGAAGCTATTGTAAGGATTGTCTCAAAGATAAATAGAAATTATTTTATACTTCTAAACATTTTATTATGATTACTATGATTACTATTTGAAATGGAACCCTTTGACAAAATATGTAGTATTCCACATGTATCAGGATATTTGTGATAATGACATATTTAACAAGTAAAGATTTGTTTTTAAATATTCTGGGTGCTTTTTGGTGTATTCCTACAAAGTTACATGAGTAGAATAATCTCAGTATTCATTCTTTCTTTTGTTTTTGTTTTTTGTTTTTCCTGGGCTGGGGTGAGGCACAGTATCTCTAAGTCTGACTGTTGTGTAACTCTTTATATAGAGCAGGCCAGCCTTGAACTCAGAGATCTTCCTGCTTCTGCCTCCTGAGTGCTAGGATTAAAGGTGTGCAATGTAACCGACCTCATATTTTGAGGCAGGGTCTTACTTTGTAACTCTGACTGGCTTCAAGTTCTTACTGCCTCTTCCTCCTCAGTGCTGGGAGGCCTCCAGTGTTCTTTATGGTTTTTGCCATCACAGAATGAAAAGAAACCATGAATGATTTATGAGAGGCCATTACTTTCAAAAGAAGAAAAGTAGCAAGTTCTTTTAGACTACAAACTAGCTGTTACAGAATCGTATTAATAGTAGTTATGTGCCCAAGGACTGCCAGGTTCCTTTCATGTCTTCCTAACAAATAGGCCCATGTGGCTGGGTGTGGTGGTACATGCCTTTAATCCCAGCACTAGGGAGGCAGAAGAAGGAAGATCTCTTGTGTTCAATGCCAAATCTTCCAATGACATTCTACATAAAAGAACATGGAAGGAGCTGTGCAGTAGTCACACATCCCAGTACTCGAGGCCAGCCTGGTCTACAGAGTGAGTTTTAGGACAGCCAAGACTACACAGAGAAACCCTGTCTTGAAAA